GAAATAAATTAAATAATACATTTGTCCGTTTGACTTAACTAAATTGATTTAAATAGTTTAATGTATGAATATGTACGCTATAAAATTTCACATTGCTTATGCGAAACCTGTTAAATAAATCGATGGCTTAAGCGGATTAAGGCGAGAGGGGTCGGGCTTGTGGGTGTCGTGCTCATCAGTTACCTACATCAATTTTCATTTAAAATTCTCATTTCGTATTTCTGCTGCACGGAAAATCAATTTCAATTTGCACTAATCTCTTTGATACACTTTCCGTGTATACTATCTTTTACACCTGAATGTCAGATCGTGGGCCACGCCCTTCCTTTAGACAGTGTACATAGTTAGCCTCCTCCTCATCTTCCATAGCTTTCTGCTTATTGACTCTGTGGCGCTTCAATCAGTGCGCATTAGGTGCTAATTAGCCATGTTAAACAATTTGCACCACAAAACCACTGACCAGACCAACCACTTTGAGGAATTTTGCACCGTTATTTAAAGGCTTAACGCGTTTTTTTAATACTTTTTTTTTCAATTCTGCCATTGATTTTTAACGCATTTAAATAAAAATAAATGCATGTGCTAAACCATTTCAGTTTAAAATTGAAATACAATAAACCAAATAAAAATTCCTACATTTAAATTTCGTTGTTTTAATTTTTTTTTTAATTTTTTTTTTAATTTTTTTTTTTTTAATTTTTTACACGCTTTAATCGCTGAAAATGGGCTGAAGAGTATATTCCGGAGGTACGTCTGTGTTGACACTTCGATGTCTGATGAATATTTTAAGAGATATTGAATGCCTATTCTGAAAATCAATATCAGGCTTCGCCCATTTCCCTACAATTTTCTTTTAAAATAGATCGAGCTAAATGTACAGCTGCGTACAGGGCATCTTGAAGTCGGGCGGTCTTGAATGGAAACTCCTACCTATTTTGTTCTGTTATATATTTTTTTTATTGTTATTGTTGTTGCCGTTGATTTGTGTAATTTACGCGTTTCATACAATTTTTCAATTTAATTAAAGGGGCCGTGCGCAGGGATCAAAATATATATGTTAAAAAAGTGCGAATTGGGGATTTATGGGAACTGGATGGAGATGAAAAATTGACTCGCTCGATTAATAACAACAATATCATTGCCAGACATTTTACAGATGAAATTGTTGGCACTCGACGCGAATGAATTTCAATTTGCACAAATTAATAAATATATACATACGTACATACATGCATGCTGATGTACATATGTACAGAGGTATGTCATATATATACGGTATATATATGTATGGTATATATATATGCGACTGCAAAAACTGTTTCACAGATAGTCCCGACAATATCAATAATTGACAGCGGGAATAAACATGCGGAGGGAACTTTAAGCGTTATTCATCTGATGGAGTGCCAAATTGACAATTGATTGACAACGTTGGAATTTTGCAACAAAAGCAAAAATTACTACATAATAATAAACAAAAAACAAACACGTGTGGCTAAGGTATAAGAGCCCGACTAAACAATACCCCGTACCCAGCTACACAGCATACCCACAATAAATGACACGCAGGCAGTCCAGCTGAGATTCTTCCTTTCTGTAGTTCAGGAGTTAAGGGTTTCAAATTCAAATTTGTGTGCACCCAAAAGTAAGGCTATAATTCCAAATGCGATATTCATTAAGTGAAATGTTCCGATACTTGTTTATTTTAATAATAAGCTTCCTTATATATTCATATATTTGTAGTCTTCAAATCCGAGGTGTTCATACAAAGAGACAGAAAAAGTAAGAGGTAGTCAGCTAATCTTAATCAAACATATATATATTTTTGCCAATTATAAAATGCTCAATGTAAATACTACATGTATTGTATCTATATATATATATATATATATATATATATATATATATATATATATATATATATATATCTATTTAAATTGTCTGATCTGATTGATTGACTGATTGGCAATTGATAAACTGACTGTTCGGTGATCAAAGCACAGCACATGTCGAAAAAGCTTCTAATCTTGGGGTTCAAAAACCTTTGAAAGATCATTTTACCCGATTTGAGATATGTTCTCCACTTTATTGGATATTCCAAGAATTTGGAAGAAAGCTGATGAGCTTTAATTTGAAAGCAACCACGGGCAAAGCCGACTAATATCTGCTAGAATTTGTCATCTTAGGCATGAGAGATATAGAGCTTCCCTTTTCATTATTGTTATTGATGACAAAAGTAAGCTCTAGTGGTTTATAAATTTATGCCTAAGCCATTTTATACTTTCCACACATCGATTTTTAAATATCTCCACGGGGTGCAACTGGTTCAAAAAATTGTAAGTTTAATTGCTAAATGAAATTTGGAAAAACTCTTTGTTTTATCATGGAGCTTCCACTGCAGACAGTCCAAATTGATGGCATGGCATTTTCTCATAAAAATACTGAGAGTTCTGTCATCTCCCATATTTCATTTGTCTAACGCACATGCAAGGCCCAAATGCGGGCGCCCCAGTTACAATAATACGAGAATCCTATATAAATACCCTTTTCACACAGTTACAAAACACACATACATTTGTTTCAACTCGTGCTCTGCTGACAACCCTGTAAAAAGTCACAAAGCCACCACCAAAAAAAAAAAAAAAAATAATGAAAAAAGGGCCAGCAGAACTTGTGCCCAGTCCGGGCTCTGACCTCGACTCCGGCTGCCGCTTTTTGCCCCCGAGCCCGAAGCGACCTACAACCCCGAAGGGCGCACACACGTTAATCAATCTCTGATAATCATTTTTCTCTACAAGCTTCGAAAATGTGCACAAATACAAATACGTGCATACATTGTTATATATTTATATATATAGACGAGTATATATCTTTCAGCTCACCGCATTGCAATTTATCTCGTGGCGCAGCGCGAAAACACTATAAAAAAATATTGAATATTATATGTTTTTTGTTTGCAATAATTTTTGTTCATTCTGCAGGCGCCCGTAGCCTGCAGTTTTGATGAATTTTAATACCCTGGATAGAACCAACTTATTAAAAAAATAAACATTTTTTTTTGGGTTAGGTTTCAGGTATTACTAAGTACTAACGAATGCGTGAATTATCAGGCAGTAACAATGCGAGTTTTTGCCTTGATTTAAAATATGGAGAATCATTGCGATAGAGTTGTTTCATATAAATTTAAAATACTTCAATCAATATAAGTTTATTGTTTTAATTATTATAGTTTGATTATATATGAATAATAAAACCAAAATTCTGAAATTTGATTTCAAATAATCAGTATATGACAATCTGTCAGTTGTCAAGTATAAGTGTGTAAATTTGAAAATATCTCATTGCCTTGTTTACTATTGCCATATCATTTAAATACAGTTATATATTTTCCTTACAGACAATTTTCCAATCTGACAACATTAAGACATTGTAGTTGAATTTAATTTCAGAAAAATCATTACATTTTTAATTGCTATTGTAGTAGCTTTTTAATTGTTTCTTGAGGGGATCACATGCTTTTATTGTGTGCTGATTGCCGTAAATCAATGCAAATTGTTTTTGCTGCGGCACAAAAATTGTGAATGTCAAACAAAATTTTTTGGTCACGCTGATAAAGCACGAAAATTGCAAAGTAGCTGATATCTCTCGTTGGCCTTTGACATATTCCGGCAACGAATCGTGCTGTTGGCCTTAAAATATATATATATATATATATATACAATTATATATATATATATATATATATATATATATATATATATATATATATATATATATATATATATATATATATATATATATAATTGTATATATACGTTTTTCCTTCATCTCTCAGCTGCCATGCGCCGTGTTGCTCCACTTTGTTGTCAGCTTGTGTGGATGCGTCTGTTATATAGTTGTTGCTATTATTGCAGTTGTTGTTTTTTTTTTAATGCGCCATGCTTGGTAAATTAAAACGCTGCTTTGTTTCACTTAACGCTGGTGCTGTGCATTGTGTATTAGAGAAATTTTTTAATATCCTAGTCCTTTGTGGCGGTCGGGCAACTAATCTGGCACGAGGGCAAAGAAAACGCTTTTTAGCTTCAGCTTCAGCATGTTTGTTTTGCTACATCTGAAGGAAACCATTAACAAACAACTGTATGGACAGTAAAGTGCTAGTACACTCGCTCACCTTAAATACACACACAGGCAAATAAACAGCCAGACAGAGAGTGAGAGAGAGGGGGAGAGAGAGAGATACTAATAAACGGGGGCAGATAGAACAGCTCGCACACATTGCAAGCTTTTAATCTTAATTTTATAGTAGTGTAGTCCTTGCAGTGCTTCTTCTTGCCCCTGTTCCAGTTTCCATCCTGTGCAGTGCAAAACGAATGCACTCCTCCGACTACCGGCTCTTAACTTACCCATCGTCTTCTACGCTTTCCAACTCCTAACACTTTTTAATGCTACTTCGGTAGTTCTAAAAGCTCCTTATGTTTTTCTTCTTGTTGTTGTTAATGTCGTTGTTGCGATTGTTGTCTTTGTTGTTTTTGCCCGAGTTAATTTAATCAGTTTTAAAATGCACACGGCTTATCATGAATCTGGCCCCTGCCCACCACCGCGCCACGCAAATAGCTTCCCAATTAGATTCGTAAAATTATTATAACATTTTGCAAAATTCTATTTACAATGTGTAAACTGTACAGATTGCATTTGCTTTCGGTCCATGTAAAGTTGCCAGCTCATTAGAAAATAAATGTATTTATTTATAACATATGAAAATTGTGGCCAATGTGCCATTCGATGTGCTGATCAATTTCTATTTCAGCAAATGTGGTTTCCAATTGTATATATCATTTGAATTTATTGCGTTATATGCAATGATAGTTGCCAAAAAGCCGGGGTTTAGGGTTAGTTTAATTTTATGGAGTGAACTATATATCATAAATAGGATTTATTATTTATGCTCTTGCGTTTTGGTGTTGAGTTCAACTCACGAGGGCATTACATTTTCAAATAATTTTTTTGAAAACGTTTTTCGTAAAGGTTTAATTTCCTGCAATGTATCATGTTGACTTACCTACTATGAATTAAATTAGGGATTTGTCATCAAATAAATACGCGATTGCTCTATAGCATTAACTCAATCGAGAGCTGTCAATTTGAAATCCCTCTACTGCAAAAATATTCGCTTAAACTCGATGTCAATGCTTTCTCTATTAAAGCAAAAATTGTCAACCTTTTGATGCTGCGATCCAGGAAAGTGCCTAAACTAGTTAGCCAACTAGTCTTTCTCTCTCTCGCTCTTTCTCTTTCGCAATTTCTTTATTCCTCTCAATTGTTATTTGCACACCCTTCGATAACGTTTTACTGAGTGCTCATATAAAAGGTCTTACATTGGATTAGATTTATAATTGTTCTTGGCGAGTCATCCGTAAAAGTTTTACTGCATCTAAACAAGTGCTTACAGCACTGAGCTTCTGCTACAAACAAGTGACACATTAAATTGACTAATTTGAAATGTTCTTGTACCAATCGAATTTCAATTTATGTTCTGTGGAAAAACTTTTTACCAAATGTCTAACACCGCATGTGTGTGTGCGTGCGTGTGTGGTGTTGAAAATTACCATTGCATACTTGACAGCATAGTCAAAGTTTTCTACACTTCCCAGCACTGTTTGCACTGCATAGACACACGTCGGTCGCCTCTTCCACTCTCTGTGGCTGTCCTGGTCTCTGTCACTGCCAAATTGCCTTGAAATCTTTTGACATGCTACGTCAAGTTTGTCATATGTCCTGCGTTGGCAGCGCCGTCGTCGCCCCCGCAGACAAAACGGGAAGAACGCCAGAAAATTGTTTTAAAGTGTGTCAGCATTTCCGTGCGCGCGTCTTGGTAAAGTGAAAATGTTTGGAATTTTAATGAAGGGCGGCTGCCTGGGATCCTACTGCCGGAACCTGACGGGCCAATAGTCCGCACAGATTTGCAACAGCCTCCAGAGCCAACTAGCTTACGTAGGCTGCCGCTGCTTTGCATATTTTTCCATTAAAAGCGATTTAAATACCTAGCCTGGTTTTATTTTTTCTATATGCATACATATCTACATTTTTTACTTACACTTCCGCTGCCAGGTCCAGGTTACTGGCCGCCTACAGATTTGTCCGGCACTTTGGCGAAAGTTCACTTAGCTAACCTAAAAAAAAAGAGAAAAAAAAGATTGAATTTTATAATAAATTTTGCGGAGACCAGAAGAGTCTCAAGATTGGTTGCTTGGTTGGGCCGTGCCATTAGCCTGCTTCTATCTTGCCTTGCCCCTATCTAAGCAGCACAACGTCTGTCGCTCGAGAATTTATGTGTGTGCGGGTTAAGTCGTCAGTAGGTTAGTCAATGTGGCGCTCCACTTGTATTCTCACTAGCATCCTTGGCTCGTGCTGACGCTGGCTGCAAGTTGGCCTAGAACAAACAGTTGATAATATGGCATTGATTAAAAATGAATTTTAGCTTTTACACATTTATAGTCAACCCGAAAATAGGATTTTGTAAGCTGTACAATTTTAAAGCACAATTTATTTTTATAGAAAAAATGTTTCATTTTTTAATTCTATCGCAGGACGCAATGCTCGATGGGAATATTTTCTGTTGTCAAAATACTTTCATCAATTTGGTGTGTGAAAAAAAAACAAGCAGAACCTTGAATTTAGAATTGTTTCGAAAGGAATTTAAAATAGAGTTGAATTAAAAAATGAGTATTTAAAAATGCACACATTAATTAACTAGCCAGGCTTTTACAAATGTTATATTAAGCTGATTAATTAAAAATAATTAAAAAACGGATATAAACTTGATCAGTTATAATAATAATGTTGTAAGCATTTAATTCAACTGTAAATGTAAACGATACTTTTATGGTTTTTTGGTTTAACTAGTCTGAAAGTCGTTCACTTCGTTTTCTGATCAACTTGTCACATTTAATCTAAATGCAACTAGAAAAATAATTTGATATAATTTTGTTTAAGCCCAGTCAAGTTCTCACACACTTCTCTTTCTTTTGTCTTACAGGTAAGCAAAGCACACTTTGAATATATTAATGTATGTAAGTATTTCGTGGAGATTTCTCAGACACCCAGCGTCGATATAATCAACCAAAAAATGTCTGGCTTAATTGAGCGCTAAATTTCCGCACATTAAATTTATTAGCCATCGCATATTGTTGCTATTATTATTATTATTGCTATTGTTATTATTGCTACAATAGCATTGGCCCAATGGCAGACAAAGTTAACGACAGCAGAAAGCAAAATAACCGCAAGCTTGCGTTTTATTTAACAAATTACGTATACGCCAGAGACGCCGCGGGTCTTTTGGAAATAGCTACAGCGAATGTTTGCTTCTGGATGCTTGTGTGCATATGTGTGTGTGTGTGTGTGTGTGTGTGTGTGTGTGTGTGTCTGTGTGTGTTCGTAACAATAACAACAAATGCGCAAATCAAATCAGCTTAAGTGCTATGAGCAGTCAGTCAACCAGACATAACTATACAAATAATATATAAACACATCTGTGAGCTCCACAAGTAAATCAAATCAGCGCCAAAGTTGTAGCTTAAATGATCATATAATCAACAAACTCAACATGGGATTAGCTCTAGCATTTTATATTACGATTTTGAGTGTGACTATGTGTATTCATAATTCAGTTTGGGCTGCTCTGATTTATGTATAGAATAGAATAGAATAATGAATCGTTGTGGACATGAATAGCTGTCACTTCATGTTCATTTGCATGAGGTTAACAGCTCCCAGATTTGATAGCAACTATTCGCAAAATCAAAGAAAAGATATAAGACTATAATGCTAACCTTATGTACCCATTTTGTAATGTATAATAAAGAATATAACTTAGTTTCATTATTCAAGACTTACCAATTTTAACAACTCGACCCTTTCATTACGGAATATATGCATGCTTCTCATTTTTAAGATAATGTCGTGATCGCGGTCGCTTTAAAATATTATACACAAAAACATTATACCCTTTATATAGTCTGTACGTTCCAAAAAACAGATTCGTCTGAGAAATTCATTTATGAGTTAATCAAACAAAATATTGTTTGCGGGTCCCGCTTATGAAACTAAAGAGGCAACTGCAGCCTGTAATTTTGTTTAATCCAAATTTGTTTAAATAAAGAAAACTAGGATACAGAGTATTTTTTAGTCGTGCATCTGCATGCTGCTACCATTTTTTACTTCTTTTCAGAGTACTTTATATGTGAAATGTAAACAGCTGGCCATATATGAATGTATACTCAGCAAATATTTGTTTTAGATAGCGGCGATTTATATAAAAATTGCATTTTCTATTCCGTGGCCTCCTTCGATACATTCGACCATCACGGCACGGTTCGTTTTGTTTACGGCATGCCTCAATTTTATTCTGTTTGGCTTCTTTTTTGCGTCTGTCCTGCTTCCGTTTTGGCAATTGGCCCGTCTTGCTGGTTTATGCTTATTTAAAAGCAATGCTGAGCTGTGTTGTCTTTAGGTTTCTTTGCCCTGTGCCTCATGTCCACGGGCGCCGGCCAGTTTTGGCATGAAACTTTGGCGCAACATTATGAACGGAGAACTCTTGGAGTTGGCTGTTGAACATTGCCTGAAGCTTGAGTACTTCATTAGCGCGCTTTGTTACTCATTATGTGCGCACATTACTCAAACCAGTAGCCCAACTTTTCATGCACACAAACACATTTTAATGTTAATCCTTTTTCAAAAGATTTCCCATGTACCTTTGCTTCCCTTCGGCCTCCAGGAGCTTGACTGGGCTGCCTGGCTGCCAGGCTGCCAGGCTGCCTGGCTGGCTCTGCCTTTCATTTTCAATCAGCAGCAGCAGCCTGCATATTTTCATTATTAATGCCCCACGGCAGCTATTGCAGCCACCGCAACACCCACAAGCCAGTCAGCCTGTCAGAACTGTTGCCTCTCCTGCTGCTGCGCTCTCTGGTTTGGTTAGGTAGCCACATTTGCTGACTTGGCTTTTTTGTCTAGAGTTGCAACCACATTGCGCTGGTCATGGGCAGACGCTGACGTCGACAACGACGTCGATGTGGTTGCCCTGAGAGTTGGCGTCACGACGACGTCTGACGTCGACGCCCCCATTCGTCTGCGTCTACGATTTGCTTGTTGGCCGTCTCCCCTTCTTGGCGGCCCGTCTTCTGTCTAACCTGTGCCAAGTTTTACGCCGTTCTGCCAAATCAATTGTTTGTAATGAACTTGCGACTGGCGTTGCTTAATGCCCGAACAGTGGAATAAAAGAGACCGAAAATTTAGAAAAATTTTAACAGAGCACGAACTCAGAAGTTAAATATATAAACATATTCAGAGCCTTATTATAAGCATTTATTTAAAACATTCTCTTTTTATCTATATATAAACAAACTGACGAACTGAGACCAAACTATTTTTTACTAAAGCGCGCTGAGACGAAAAAGCCGGATTGTGATTCTTAAATGAAAATCATGTAAATATTGATAATAAATGTAAATTGGTAAAATTTATAATTTGGTTAAGAAGCCAAAATTTTGCAATAATAAAAGTGAAATATAATTAACAATTAACCAAAAATATTTATCACATTATTTTCAATAAGATACATCAAGGTTCGCGTTAAACCTGTGTGTTTTGTTTACCTTTTGTCCGAACTGCGCCCATCGTCTCACTTTTGGGTAAAGTTCATTTAGTGCCTGGAACCGGCTTCGCAACAATTGAAATTAATTAGAGCTGTAATTTGATTAAGAGCGCAGCGAGTGTCTTCAACAGTCTTATAAATACCTTAACCGGGTGCCCATACAGCGTATCTCATTCGGGTTCCAGAATCCAGCAGCTAGCCAAAAATTTGTGTTTGTATTTGGGTGTGCATTTGCATTTGGCTTGAAACATTTGCGATTGTTCTCATTAACTAATTGCTTCAGATGCTTCTTTTTGCCACATCAGTGGGGCACAAAGAAAAAAATGAAATGAAATAAATAATACAAGAAAAAACGACACGTGTTAAGTACATATGTAAATGAAGCCACCCAAAAGACTTGGTAAACATGGAAAACTCCCGAGGCTACAACAAAGTAATACACGAAAAGAAACTCAATCTAATTTAAATGGTGTTTTGTTGTTTTCGCTCTGTGTTAATGCTGGTGTTGTTGTTGCTCTGGTTACACAGCGGGCGTGAACTTTGCCGTCATCTTGTTTGGCTCTCACAAAAGTATTAGAAACTTGGGACTGGGACTTGGTTCAGGGACCCACATTGATATCGCCTCAACGGGCACATTTGCATAGCTTCGCTAGGGTACTTCTACGCACCTCTCACATAGCTCTTAGCTATTTTCTCCCGTTAACTCCAGCGGTTACCAGTGTTTTCCCCATGGTCTTAGTTTTCGGTTCCGGTCTGTCATGACAACCGACGATATTGTATGTGTTTATGAGTCGACGCCTGGCAATTGCAAATCAATTTGTACGGCACGCGCATAAATCAAATTCGCAAAAGACATTTGCCCCAACTGCCGCAGCGAATGGCCTTCAAAAATTGGCGCTCACACTCATTCACATGGCATATGCCGGCTTTCAATTTATTTGCCAAATGAAATAAGGAAGCAATTTTACAAATTTACACAAGGCCACAAGGAAAAAGTTACTTTTCTTTGCCAACAATAATAATTGCAACAACAACGACAGCAGCAGCAACAACAACAGCGAGCATCAGGCAAATTGCCGCATCAGCGAAAACGGCACTCAGAACTTTGTATTTGGTACAGAGAAATCGAGCCAAGTATCCAAAAATAAGTAAAGCAAGTAAGAACGACTTTTTTCGTTGCCCCGAAGATTCAATACACTTGTGAACCTATTACATTGAACGGCTTTTATATAAACACTGTAATTCCAATCGATTGTTTCTATAGGAGTCATATAATGAATTAGTTCGATTTGATATGGTTTTCAGATATGGTTGGAGAAATACGAAGCTCGAAATTACTGGGTTTGGACAAAAATGTTGCTCATATGTTAGTGTCATAGTGAAATTAATAAATGCCAAGTTTTGTCAAGATATCTTGAGTGTTTTTACTGCTATTGCTATGCTATTCTATATGTAGGTAGTGGGCCGATTTTGCCTAAACCCGAACAAATGTACTTCTTCAACAAGAGGGGAGACT